AAATTATTTTACACTTACACTAAACATGTTTTCTTGTGAATCAACAATATGCATACTTCACCGATAAATTATACGGATGCATTCATATTGCAATTGTGAATCCACAAAATGCATACTTCACGGTTAAATTATACACATGCATTCAGATTGTAAAATTTTTTTAGGAAAAAACCTTAACACATTTTTACACCAAATTTTGCAAATATGAAATTCAGCAAGTCTTGAAAGTACATAAAAATAATTTCATGTCAATCCAAGGCGTGGAAGTATTTTTCTCAAAATTTTTCCCAACATTACTCCAGGCAGAAAAATAATTGGCAGCACATTGTCAAAACTTTACAGAATTTTTCTGGAACAACCAAAGCATATTTTTAAGAAAATCTTTTCACAGACATCAAATACCACAAGTCTAGGTTCTACAGAAAAAAAATTTCATGCCAAAAGGAGTTCAACAAGTATTTTTCATGATTTTAGTTTTCAAACTGCGCCTATCAGAATTTTTCAAGCATGCCTCAAATGTTATGCAACTAAATTTAACATTCAAGAGATACATTCAAACCAAGTACTTATAAAATCTTTGTAGGCATGTAGCGCAAGGCATCTTATTAAAATAATAGGTAGAGGACTATACATTCCCTAATACAAATCCCGTCATTATGTATGTTCAGACATTACGTAAATGTTGTCCTTAACACAAAAGAAACGTAAAACAATATATGTAAGTAGAACTGTGGAAGATCACAATCCCCACAACTTGACCACGTCTGTGATCATCCCAAGGATCTCCATTGTCTGCCGTTACTAAATCCACTTTGAACACCTTTAAATTTAAAATGGTAGTTCTTGCTGAGAAGCGTTTCTTTGCATATATACAGTGAATATAGAATTGAATTCAATGATGAAGTACTAGCTTCTAAGTTATAAACACATTGTCAAAGTCGAGGGATCTATAACCACATTAAACACATTAACAGGCATGCACTGATAATAAATATACACACTTTGGAATGCTGCTCACCGTAGAGACTATTGGTCAATCCAAAACATATATGCTCAGGCCACAAGAATATATATCAATATGTCTCATGTATCTATGAAAATAATGAATATTAATACTTAGCTTTGTTATCCTCATTGACGGTGGTGCTTGGTTGGTCCTTGTAACTCCATATTATTAATTCCTATTTGAAATTCGAACAACCAAAGTAGTTTGTCGCAAAGCCAATTGCCGGCAACCATGGAGTCCGATCGACGGTGTCTTCGCCAATTTCGACTTCCGATCGTGGCACGGACAGTATGGCTGCTGTCGCCCCATCATCGCGGTCAATTGTTTATGGTCAGATCGTTGATCAGCGGAGACCAACACCGCCATCCGTGTCATTTGTTCGACGTCTCCAACGGCCGGAAAACCTCCGGCTGTGCTCCGACTTCGGCGGAAGACGAAGGTGGCCGATCAACAATCAGACCATGGGAGAAGGATCCCTACCACCCGATCCTTGATGAACTGGCTGGATTGCCGCCTCGCCGGGAACTGCGCTGCCGACAAAGACCGTGATGATTTGCGACAAATCTCCACCGCATTAGATCTCTCCGCGGGGAATTTTTGAATTCATTACTCGATGAAGACAATATTGCGTGGAAATTCGCTATCTGCAATAACGACTGCTTCAAATCGCGAAGTAGTGGAGACGGTGGATGTGGAAGTCGGTGTCTTCTGTTGCGTTCTCCCTCTTTGCTTCACTTTCAATCGCCAGAAGATCAGCGTGATCGTGGCGTATCTTCTCCGATCGTTCAGATTCTGGCCGCGGATGGCGTCTTCTTTGAGTAAAGTGCCGATAACGTGTTGTAACCCATTAGCTCAAACAATGATCAATGTAATTGAAGAAGGTAAGAAGCAAGGTAAAGAGGATCATCTTATATATTCATTCATCTGTATATCATCATACAACCATAACACCTTTATATATAGTGTACAAACATAACATAACGGAAGATATAATGGAGACATAAATACATGAACCGTTACAACTGTTATATAATCTATAATAATGTCCACATAATGATTATATTTATAACACAATTTAAAAATTGTGAATATAGAATTCTGCAATCGTGAATATTGAGTTCTGCAATTTTGTATATTGAGACCTAAAAATTGTGAATATAGAGTTCTGCAATATAGAGTATAACTACAACTTGACAAAATTACTTGATCCTCTTTTAGAGCAAAACATACCCATAAATCGAATAGTAGTGAAATCACACTTTAACAATCATAACTAGCTTGAGTCATATAATATCAAAAGCCCAAAATATTTTAACTTATACTAACCCTAAAATGGGTATTCAAAATGGTAGAGATTCCAAAATAGGTTATGAGTTTTGCAAAATAATGTGAGAAGAGTTAACCACTCACCTAGAACATCCAAATCTTAGCTAATTAGCTCACTCAAATACTCCTTGTCAAAATCCCTTATATTTTCAAACATCAATCTTAGGGCTCCAATGTTAAACCCAACTCAAAAAGAGTGAACTATGGAGGTCAAACTCACATAGAATACTCCAATAACTTGAGACCTAAGCTTGATACTACTACAGAATTCACATACAACGTCGGGTCTTTTACGTCGGCTATATACATAGCCGACGTTAAAAACATGTAATTTTTTTTAATAATTAAGTTTATAACGTTGGCTATTTAGTAATAGCCGATGTTATAAATAAAAAATAATAATATAAAAGAAATACATAACCTACGACGTCGGCTGTATTAATAGCCGACGTCGTAGGTTGTTAATTAGTTTTTTTTTTTAAAAATTATTTATATATAACATTGGCTAATTCCTTTTAGCCGACGTTATATACTAAAAAAAAAAGGAAGAAATAAATATAATACAACGTCGGCTAACTATCTAGTCGACGTCGTATTCTTTTTAATTATTTTTTAAAATTTTTTTTACTTTATAACGTCGGCTAAATAATTTAGCCGACGTTATAAAGTTTATAAATAAGCCCAGATCTGAGACTTACGGTCAGACGCACCACCACATCTTCTCCTCCCCACCGCATCTTCTCCTCACCACCACATTTACGCCGTTACTTCTTCCCACTGCTTCCGCCGCCGCTGCAACTCGCTGACGTCGTCCACCCCGCTGCATCGTCCACATCGCCGACGCTGTCGCTGCAACTCCTTCCCCGCCGCTGCAACTTCAACCCCGCCGCCGCCGCTTCACCCTCTCCTCCCCGTCGCCAGCCATCGACGCAGACCGGCCCTGCCCTCCGCTGCCGCCGCCAGCCATCGACGGTAAGTTTTATAATTTTTTTTTTAATTATTATTAATTAATTTCGAATTTTATTAAATTTATTTACAATTTAGGGTTTGTTTGTATATATTTGTAAGTTTTATTGATTAGTTTCAAATTTTCGTCAATTTATTTGCATTTTAGGGTTTATTTGTATATATTTGTAATTTTTATTGATTAATTTCAAATTTTAGTCAATTCATTTGCATTTTAGGCTTTATTTGTATATATTTGTAATTATTATTGATTAATTTCGAATTTTAGTCAATTTATTTGCATTTTAGGGTTTATTTGTATATATTTATAATTTTTATTGATTAATTTCGAATTTTAGTCAATTCATTTGCATTTTAGGGTTTATTTGTATATGTTTGTAATTATTATTGATTAATTTCAAATTTTAGTCAATTTATTTGCATTTTAGGGTTTATTTGTATATGTTTGTAATTTTTATTGATTAATTTCGAATTTTAGTCAATTCATTTGCATTTTAGGCCTTATTTGTATATATTTGTAATTTTTATTGATTAATTTCGAATTTTAGTCAATTCATTTGCATTTTAGGGTTTATTTGTGTATATTTGTAATTATTATTGATTAATTTTGAATTTTAGTCAATTTATTTGCATTTTAGGGTTTATTTGTATATATTTGTAATTATTATTGATTAATTTCGAATTTTAGTCAATTTATTTGCATTTTAGGCTTTATTTGTATATATTTGTAATTATTATTGATTAATTTCGAATTTTAGTCAATTCATTTGCACTTTAGGGTTTATTTGTAATTATTATTGATTAATTTCGAATTTTAGTCAATTCATTTGCATTTTAGGGTTTATTTGTATATATTTGTAATTATTATTGATTAATTTCGAATTTTAGACAATTCATTTGCATTTTAGGCTTTATTTGTTTATATTTGTAATTATCATTGATTAATTTTGAATTTTAGTCAATTCATTTGCATTTTAGGGTTTATTTGTATATATTTGTAATTATTATTGGTTAATTTTGAATTTTAGTCAATTTATTTGCATTTTAGAGTTTATTTGTATATATTTGTAAATATTATTGATTAATTTTAAATTTTAGTCAATTTATTTGCATTTTAGGGTTTATTTGTATATATTTGTAATTATTATTGATTAATTTTGAATTTTAGTCAATTTATTTGCATTTTAGGGTTTATTTGTATATATTTGTAATTAGTAGTCTATTTTCACCACAACAATTATTTTAGATAGAGTTGAATCAATGTTAACAAAAGTTTAATTGGAATTAATATTATCCTAGATTGACTTGTGATGGATAAAAGTTGGATGAAAGCTTCTCGGTTGAGTAAGGAATATGATGCCAAAGTTAGAGAATTTATAGAGTTTGCAAAACGTCATCTTCCAAATAATGATGCAACGTTTTGGTGTCCTTGTAAGAAGTGTTGCAATCTAAAACTATTAAGTGCCAAAGACATATATGATCATCTAATTTGTGATGGAATTAATCAAAATTATACAAAATGGATATGGCACGGTGAAGGAGGAAGAGAGACTAGTACATCTAACATGTATGTTGACAACGAAGCAAATGAAGATGATGAGTCTGAAGATAGGTTGGACGAAATGTTCTGTGATGTTGGAGAAGAGTTCACAAATCGATCAAATGAGTTGGATGAATTATTAAATGATTCAAAACAGCCTTTATGGCCGGGTGTAGTAAATATACTCGCTTATCTGCTGTTTTGAAATTATTCAACTTAAAAGCTGGGAATGGATGGAGCGACAAGAGCTTTACTGCTTTACTTGATTTAATAAACGATATGCTTCCAGAAGATAATGGACTCCCGAAGAGTACATATGATGCAAAGAAGATTATGTGTCCCATGGGTATGGAGTATGAAAAGTGACATGCTTGTCCTAACGATTGCATATTATTTAGGAATGATTACAGAGAATCGAATGCATGTCCGATCTATGGGGCATCTCGGTACAAAATAAGAGAGCATGTTGTTGGTAAGTCAAGTTCGAAAGGGCCACCAACTAAAGTTATGTGGTATCTCCCAATTCTTCCAAGATTTAAGCGTATGTTTGCAAATCCAAGCGACGCGAAAAACTTAACATGGCATGCAGATCAAAAAATTTCTGATGGCAAGCTTCGACACCCAACTGATTATACTCAATGGAAAACCTTTGATAATGTTTTTCTTGAATTTAGCAATGAGTCCAGAAATCTTAGACTTGGCCTTTGTACAGATGGTATAAACCCCCACGGGAACCTAAGTAGCAAGCATAGCTCGTGGCTAGTTATGTTAGTGATTTATAATCTACCTTCTTGGTTGTGTATGAAACGCAAATATATATTACTGTCCTTCATGATTTCTGGCCCAAACAACCCGGTAATGATATAGATGTCTTTTTGGCACCTTTGATTGATGACTTGAAAAAATTGTGGGATGAAGGTGTGTTAGTGTTTGATGCCTACCGGAAAGAGAATTTTAAGTTGCATGCTATGTTTTTTTGCACAATCAATGACTTTCCAGCTTAAGGAAACCTGGCTGGGTATAGTGTCAAAGGACATAAGGCATGCCCTATATGCGAAGATAATACATGTTATACACAACTTGTCCATGGCAGAAAAACAGTCTACTTGGGTCACCGGAGGTTTCTTGATAGAGCTCACCCTTACAGGAGATTAAAAAAGGCTTTCAATGGGCAACAAGACTATACAGATGCTCCACAATCAATGACTGGGATTGAAGTTTATGAACGTGTAAAAGGTATAAATGTTACTTTTGGTAAAACTCAAAAGCTTAAATCTCAAAGAGGTAAGAGGTTAAGAGCTAATGTTGAGGTACCTCCAAATGAAAAGAGTCCATGGAAAAAGAAATCCATATTTTTTTATCTTCCATATTGGAAGACATTAGATGTGAGACATAGTATTGATGTGATGCATGTGGAGAAAAATGTGTGTGATAGTCTTGTTGGAACTCTTTTAGATATAAAAGGTAAGACTAAAGATGGACTCAATGCTAGATTAGACTTGATTGAAATGAACATAAGAGCAACATTAGCTCCACGCCAAGGGGATAAGAAGACATATTTGTCTCCAGCTGCTCATACTTTATCAAGAAAGGAGAAAATAAGTTTTTGTGAGTGTTTACGTGGAGTCAAGGTACCACAATGGTACTCATCAAATATTAGAACACTTGTGAATATGCAAGATTTAAAATTGGTGGGATTGAAATCTCATGATTGTCATGCCATAATGCAGCAACTATTGCCAGTTGCTGTTAGAGGTATATTGCCCAAAAAGTTGAGATATACTATTATAAGGTTTTGTTTCTTTTTCAATGCTATCTGTGGAAAAGTGATTGATCCAGACAAACTAGATGAATTGCAAAATGGCATTATTGTTACATTGTGTCAGTTGGAGATGTATTTTCCACCGTCATTTTTTTATGTCATAGTTCATTTGGTTGTACATCTGGTGTGAGAGATCAAACAGTGCGGTCCTGCTATTTGAGGTGGATGTACCCATTTGAACAGTACATGAAAGTCTTAAAAGGTTACGTGTGGAACCGATATCGACCAGAAGCATCTATTGTTGAAAGCTATATTGCTGAGGAGGTAACTGAATTTTGTACTGAATATTTGGCGGGGTAGAAGCTATTGGTCTTTCTAAGTATCGACATGAAGGAAGAAGTGTTGGGAAAGGTACTCGAGGACGCAAAGTAGCCGGTATGCCTCGTGAAGATATTGAGGAAGCACATTTGTACATCTTGCATAATACAAGTGAAGTCGAGCCATATTTAGATGAGCACAAGGCATTGATTAAAGAGCAAAATCCAAGAAAGACAGACATGTGGATTGTGAGCGAACATAATCGTACTTTTATTAGTTGGTTCAAGAATAAAGTTCTGAGTGCTACTAACTATTCTGAAATAGTACGATGGTTAGCTCATGGTCCTTGTATGCAAGTCATATGTCATACTGGATATGATATAAATGGATTTTCTTTTTATACAAAAAAAAAAAAAAAAAAAAAAAACAAGATGAAAAGAGCACTATGCAAAACAGTGGAGTTTCTTTGGTTGCAAATTCAGTGCACTTTAGTAGTTCGAAAGATAAAAATCCGGTCATTGCAGAGTTGTCATATTATGGTGTGATTGAAGAAATATGGGAGGTTGATTATGTTCAGTTCAAAGTGCCGATGTTCCGATGTAAATGGGTAGATAGTAAACACGGTGTTAAAGCTGATGACTTAGGGTTTACACTTGTCGATTTGAACAGGGAAGGTCACAAAAATGAGCAATTCATAATGGCATCTCAAGCAAAACAAGTATTTTATGTTACTGATCCTAGTGATAAAAAATGGTCTGTTGTTCTTCATGGAAAGAGACAAATTACTGGTGAAGGGAATGAAGATGTTAGTTATGAGATTGAGGAAATACCACCCTTTTCTTCAAGTTTATTACTAGTTATTATAGATAATGAGATAGATGAAGTGCATGCATCACGTGATGATCATCATGAAGGGCTATGGGAGAATTGATTATTATTTGTAATGCTTTAACTTCTTCTTGTGTTTACTATATCTAAATATTTACAGTTATATTTATGTATATTATTCTTTTGTCAATTCACTAATAATTTCTTTGCTAAACAGGCATATGGATTCATCAAATGACCCCCCTGTTGATAGTACCATCCAAGCTAAAGGTACTAATACCAAAGCTAAGAAGAGGGGTGCCACCGTTATGACAAAATTAATTTCTGGGCGTGGTGACACAAACACGAAATTGGTGGTTCAATTTAATAATAAACACGAAGCTGTTGGGGCAGGGAGCGCCCAATTCAAAAGTTATTTTGCGTTGATTGCACGGAGCAAAGTTCCAATCACATATAAAGATTGGAAAGTGGTCCCAGAAGAGAGTAAAGCGTTGGTGTGAGATGATATCTCGTTATGCAACTTATTTATAAAACTATTGAATTAATTGTATTTAATTTGATTCTAATAAATAATCTTGTCTTGCAAAGCATTTATGATATTCTCACTGATGATGTGGATCTGAAGGATTCTTTGATGAAATATGAGGGTGAACGGTGGAGAGATTTTAAAAGTAGATTGAACAGAGACTACATATTCCATAATGAAGACCCAATAAAGAATACTCCATGTCAAAAATACACATTCGTTGATCCAAATACATGAAAAACGTACGTGGAGCGGCGTAAAACTGCAGAGTTTGAGGTATATATATTATAATTTTTCTATCAATTATTTATTAACTGAAATATATTAAAGATATATATTTTTACTTAATGTTTTCTTTTTGTGTAGGAATCAAGAAAGAAACATCAAGAAATATGGAGTAAGAATGTTCATCCACATCATTTAGCCCGAGGAGGCTATAAGAGATTGGAGAAGATTATGATGGATGAGAAGATGAAAGAACAAGAAGAAGCTGCAAGTTCAGATCCATCGTCAGTAGTTGTTCCTCCATCTCCGCCAGCTAGACATGAAAAATGGAAGAGGGCAAGAATGAACAAATTAGAAAATATCACCAACGATGCGACTAGAATGGTCGTGGAAAAGATTGTAAGTAAAATGTTAAAATTTTCTACATTGTTAAGATAGCTAGTAATCATTATTAAATATTGTTTTTATATGTTAGGATTTGCTATCATTGCAAGCTTCTCAAGGAGAGTTTGTTGAGTCCGGTAGACAAGATATATTGTCTAGTGCCATAGGTACAGATGAGCATTGCGGACGTGTTAGAGCCGTGGGTAGAACACATGGCTTAAAAAGCTACTTTAGTCCTGCAAAACGTCGTCAAAGCCAGTCTACACCAGAAGTGAAAGATACGATTAAGACAGCAGTTGCTGAGGCGTTAGTAGTTGCCCGAGAGCAATATGAAACATCCTTGCAAGCAGCCATTCGAGAGATGAGGGATGAAATTAGTAGTATGAGGACTCCAGCGGCTCAACCTGTACCATCAAGGCAGGAGGAAGACATGCGTGTAGCTGTCCAACCACATGGTCATAGTGAAAAAGCAAGCTCTCCAGACCCTTTTGCTGATTTACCGGCCGTAAGTAATCATTTATAACTAACCTTATTATTTATTAAAAACATTTTAGCTATTTCTTAATATGAATTCATGCAGTTAGGAGCAGGATGTGAATTGTATTTGGAAGATCCCATTAGACGTAAAGTTGCACGTGGGACAGTTTACAAGGCTGAAAGGGTTCACGGGATACAAATACATGTGGATCAAGTGAAGGTCACCGTGACTGAAATTCTCGTGTCAAGTGCAAAGGTACCCTTCCCTACCAATGAGGTTCAACTGTTAAGGGATGCATTGCACAACTTTATTATTTGGCCAAAGAAGTTGGTTGAGTTGTATACCGAAGCTGATGAAGTATGTATTTTAAAAATTTTTGGATTTTAAAATAGTGTTTAATTTACTTTTTAAAAATATTAATTGTTACTTATATTGAACATGTACAAATGACTTATGATTCGGTGTGCAACGACCTTCTGTTGATCTGACTATAGCTGATCCGACTTCTTTGAGTCCTCGATGTCTAAAGGTATATAAAATTGTTCGCAAACTTGATGAAAATGTTGTGATAAAGATGGAGCGTGGTATTGTGGGCGATGTTGACTATCCCTTACAACTTGACCCGTTGGAGATTATGTGTTTCTTAAGGATGGAGACGTTAGATGTTTCCATATTGCAGTTCTTTATAAGGTAATAATTAAGTTCTTTTTCATTTCATCTATTATATTACTAATATATATGATTGATTGTATTTTTGAATAGGGGTCTTTATGACAAATTTGATTTGGCATCAAAGACCACATATGGCTTCTTAGATCCACATTTCATTGACCCAATTTCGAATTCTATAGATGAACGGACAGGGTATATCAACGTCACCATGCAATATGGCCAAAAACAATGCTATCTAGCGCCATATATTTTAAAGTAAGTTTTAATTGTTTCAAATAAAATAACATATATATAATACACTTTTATTATATATTATATTTACTTACAACTAATACATTATTGATTTGTAGTGACCATTGGATGTTGATGGCAATTTGTCCTCAACTTAATGAAATCTATTGGTTTGATTCAATTGGAGGCCAGCCACGTGATGACATCAAAGATATTGTTGAAAAGTATGTGAACTTATAAGTATTAGTATGTATAATTAATAAAGTATGCATGACATCATAAAGTATTTATGTATACTAATCTCTTATAATTTTAGGTGTGTCAATTCAACATAGTTGTTGAGAAGCAATGGATCAACTCGTTCACCAAAATGGACTAAGATTTTGGTAAGTATTTTATACATTTGTAAAACTACATATATTTTATTCTTTTTTATTAAATAAAATTTTAAATGTAATTTAATTCAATTGTAGTGTGCTCAACAAGTTGGAAGTACGGCATGTGGATATTATGTGATGAAATACATGCTTGAAATTCTTTCCAAAGAAGCATGTGCGGGAATGGATAAGGCATGTAATTTAATATAATACCTTTCTCTTTCTAATTTTAAAAATGCTAGCTTACTAATTATTTTTTTTTTTTTTGAATGCTTACTAATTATTTAATACTTATTAACTTTGTAGATTATTGAGAGAGTTCGTGGATCGAGCTACACTCAACAAAAATTGATCAAGTAAGAGACGTATGGGCCGACTTCTTTGTTGATGTATGGTTAAGTATGTAAATTGAACAAATTGATATTAGGTTTTGATAATGTTAACTTGTATTATTAATTAGTATCAAATTGTGAGATTTATTACTTTTATTACTTGTTTCATTATGAATATTAGATTCTACATATTTTGTTGTGGTTGTGGTGCAATAATTGAGCAGGTTTTGGTTGTGGTTGTGAGAAATTGAGCAGGTTTAGGTTGTGGTTGTGAGTAATTTGAGCAGGTTTTTGAGTATAAATGGACAAATAAACTGTATATTTAAAAAAAATATATACAATGTCGGCTAATAGGTACTAGCCGACGTTGAATATATTTTAAAAATAAATAAATACAGTTTACAACGTCGGCTGATTGGTATTAGCCAACGTTGTAGGTATTTAAATAAAAAATAAAATACCTACAACGTCGGCTAATACCAATTAGCCGACGTTGTATAGTATTTAAAAAAAAATAAATACTTACAACGTCAGCTAATTGCAATTAGCCGACGTTGTAAGTATTTATTCATTAAATAATATATATATATATATATATATATATATATATATATATATATATATATATATATATATATATATATATATATATATATATATATATATATAACATCGGCTATTTATATAGCCGACGTTATAGATAATATTTACAACGTTGCCCAGAACAACTTCGGAACTTAGCCGACGTTAAAAGCTCTATTTAGCTTACGTTAAAAGCCTGCTGTGTAGTAGTGTGAAGAGGATGGAGATCAAAGCTTCAATGTTTTTCCTTCCCCTATCTCTCTAGGCAACTCTCCTTATCATCTTTCAAATGGGATGTTTGTCCAAGACCAAGTGATTCCTTAATCTTTAAGGGTAAGGAACTTTAATTTAGTAATTTTATCCAATATTAAATTTTAATAAGCTTTGACTTGTTGACCTCATTTGATAAACATAGATATATTTTCATTTCTAAGATAGTGGTATTACAATCTACCCTCCTTAAAATAAGTTTCGTCCTTGAAACTTACATACCTTCAAACTTGAAGAGTTCAGGATATCTATCCCTTCATATCGTCTTTCTTTTCCCATGTTGCTTCTCTTGTAGTATGATGTGACCATTGCAGTTTAACAAATGGGATTACTGGAAACCTCGCTACTTGTTCCTTTCGGTCAATGATGCGAATATGTACTTCTTCATAAGTTAAATCATCTCTAACTTGCAAAGGTTGATACTCCACCACATGACTTGGATCTGCAATGTACCTTCGTAGCATTAATACATGGAATACATTGTGAACTCCAGCTAGTTGTGGTGGTAGCGCTACCTCTTAAGCCAAACTACCAACTCTACTCAAAATCTCAAATGGTCCAATGTAACGTGGACTTAATTTCCATTTTTCTCCAAACCTCATTACTCCTCAAGTTGGTGAAACCTTTAAATACACAAAATTTCCAAATTTGAATTCCAATTCTCTTCTTCTTAAGTCAGCCCAAATCTTTTATCTATCTTGAGAAGCTTTAATTCTTTTCTTAATTAATTGAATATTCTCAACTGTGAGTTGTACAAGTTCTGGCTCTAAGATCTTTCTTTCTCCTACTTCATCCCAATATAAAGGAGATCTACATTTCCTTTCATATAAAGCTTCAAAAGGTGTCATTCATATACTCGATTGGTAGTTATTGTTATATGCAAACTCAATCAAAGTTAAGTATCTACTCCAACTACCTTTGAAATCCAAGACACAAGCTCGAAGCATATCTTCCAAGGTCTGAATTGTCCTCTCGGTTTGCCCATCGGTTTGTGGATGAAATGTAGTGCTTAATCTTAATTCAGACCACATGGCTCATTGTAAGCTTCTCCAAAATTTTGACACAAATCTAGAGTCCTGGTCAGATACTATACTAACATGTACGCTATGTAACCTTACAATTTCATTCACATACAACTCAGCTAGGTCATTCAATGAAGTTGTCTTATTAATGGATAGAAAATGTGTAACCTTAATAAGTCGATCCACAATAACCCAAATGGTATATTTCCCATGCTGACTGTTCGGTAATCCCCTCACAAAATCCATAGATATATGTTCCCACTTCCATTAAGGTATCTCTAGGAGTTTCAATAATCCTGCCGGTCTTTGGTGTTCAGCTTTGACTTGTTGATATACCATGCATCTAGCCACAAAGTCAGCAATATCCCGCTTCATACCACTCCACCAGAAATTATTTTTCATATCTCTATATGTTTTAGTAGCACCTGGATGTATCGAGAAGTGAGACTGATGGGCCCCCTTTAAAATATCCTTTCTTATCTCAACATCATTTGGAATGCATAGTCGGGACTTGAAATATAGAGATCCATTGTCATTGATTAAAAACTCTTCTGGGTCACCCGCTTAATTTTTTTTTTTCCGAATCTTAATCAGCTCGGGATCTAAAACTTGGGCAGCTTTAATGCGATCTAATAATACCGATTTTGCAGTCATAGTTACCAATATCCCTCCTTAATTATCTTGCGAAATAAGCTCAACTTCTAAATCTTGCAAATCTTTCAACAATTGAGTTTGAGTGGTCACCACTGTCACATTAATCGTGGAAGACTTACAACTTAAAGCATAAGCTACCACGTTTGCCTTACTCGGATGATAATTAATAGAGAGGTCATAATCTTTGATTAGCTCCAACCATCATCGTTGTCTCATTTTTAACTCCTTTTTGGGTAAAAAGGTACTTCAAACTCTTGTGGTCCGTGAATATTTGACAAGATTCTCCATACAGATAGTGTACCACAACGGCTAGTTCCAAGTCATGAGTGGGGTAGTTAACTTCATGGGACTTAAATTGTCGAGAGGCATAGGCTACCACGTTATCATTTTGCATCAACACACATCCTAATCCTCTTCTTGATGCATAACTATAAATAACAAATCCTCATTCACCGGATGGTAAGGCTAAGATAGGTGCACTAACCAATCTAATCTTTCCTTTAATTCTTGAAAGCTCTTCTCACACTAGCTCCTCATCCCATTCAAACTTTATACCCTTTCGACTTAACCAAGTCAATGACGTAGCTATTAATGAGAAGTCTTTCACAAATCTCCTGCATGTAATAACCTGTTAAACCTAGAAAACTCCTTACTTTTGTAACAATAGTGGGTCCCAACCATTGTGTTATTGCTTCAGCTTTAGCCGGGTCCACAGAAATCCCATCTCAAGAAATTACATGACCAAGAAAAGATACCTCCTTTAGCCAAAATTCACATTTACTTAGCTTGACTTACAATTCATTTTCCTTCAAGGTGTACTAGATGGTTCTTAGATGTTGAGCATGCTCTTCCTCAATATTTGAATATACCAAAATGTCATCAATGAATACCACAACAAATTTGTCCAGAAATGACTTGAGGACCCTATTCATTAAATCCATAAAGAAAGCAGGAGCATTAGTTAGCCCAGCATCACAAAAAATTAATAATGGCCATGTCAGGTCCTAAAAGCAGTCTTGGGTACATCACTAGCTTTAACCTTCAATTGATGATACTCTGATCTTAAATCAATTTTGAGAAGTATTTATCACCTTGCAACTGGTCAAATAAATCATCTATGCGAGGTAGAGGATACATGTTCTTGACAGTAACTTTATTAATTCAATTCCCGATAGTCAATACACAATCGCAAGTTACCATTTTTTTTCTTCACAAATAGCACTGGTGCACCCAAAGAGATACACAAGGTTTAATAAATCTCATATCAAGCAATTCTTGCAATTGCACCTTTAACTCACGTAGCTCAGATGGTGCCATGCGGTAAGGGGCTTTTGAGATTAGAGTAATTCCAGGAAGAACCTCTATTTCAAACTCAATTTCTCTATCTGAAGGTAATCTAGGTAAACGCTCTAGGAACACGTATGGAAATTCCTTAACAACTGGGATATCATCTAACTTAACTTTTTTATGGTGGGTATTCATTACATAAGTTAAGAAACCGCTACACCCTTTTCTTAATTCTTTCTTAGCCTTCAATGCAGAAATTACTTTCAATGGCACTTTCGACACCAACACTCCACTCCTTGGAAAGTGTCCCATGCCACTAGTAAAGATAGATTATCCAGGAATTTGAAATACCACATTTCTACGAGTGTAATCAATGTAGACATAGTTTTTGGATAACCAGTCAATTCCTAATATCACATCAAAATCTTGCATATCTAGCTGAATTAAATCACTTGATACATCACTCCCACTAAGTTGCAGATGAAAATCTTGAAACCAAGTATCTGTCACCACAATTTTCCCCATTGGGGTACTAACATATAAGGGTTTACTAAACTTCTTAGCTTGCAAATTTAAATTCTTTGCAAACTTCTCAGAAATAAAACAATGCGAAGAACCTGAATCACACAGCACGCGACGTAAGCATCTGCCACTATGTTCCAAATAAGCGACACATTTATCAACAACCGAACTCGACGAG